CTTACTGTAGAAGGATGAGGATCTGATTTGGGGTTCCCAGTGCCTACATAAAAGCCAAGTGGGGGGACGCACATAAATAACACCCCTCATTTTGAAAGGAGCAGAGATAGGTAGATCCCAGGAGCTCAGTGGCCTACGACAAGTGTAACCAAGTGTGCTAGGATAGTGATTTCCAAGTTCAGTGAAAGACGCTATCTTAAAACATTGAGAGCAACAAAAGAAGATCCAGATACTGACCTCTGCAAGTACATGTGTACAGAGAGAGAGGGGAGGGGGAGTGAGAAAGGGAGAGAGAGGAGGGAGGGAAGGAGAGAATCACTAAGCTAAACCACAAGAGGTCTTGGTTCTTTTCTCCATGTTTTGTTTATACACTGATCATGAAAAGTATAGGTCCCCAGATATACCCTGCAAGCCAACATGAACATACACATGAGTCATGAGCCATACATACGCCACAGTTCTCAGAGTGCTTGGGTAGGACAATAAACTTTCATAAAAAGTACAACAGTACTGTTCTTAATTAAAATTTCTAAATAACTCTAGTTGTTGACAATGTCACCACCCAAAGCCATATTGACTTTGTTAATTATTCAAGTTGAAATAGATAAAAACAAACAAACAAACAAACTGAAAACAAACAAACAAGCAATATAACAATGCTTATGCTTCCAAAATAATTCAAAAAATTAAACCAAGGAAATGGGCAATACACATCATATGAACTGGTACTGTTCCTGAGTAATTGCAAGACAACAGTAAAATAATAAAATACAAAGTACTTTGACAATGTCTAGTTAGTAACTCTTTGAACATTTTTTAAAGGAAAAATAGCAATTATACAATGAAAATACTTAGCAGCCATTATCAAAGGTCCTTTACTGATATAAGCTAATTAACTTCTCCTGAAATACCCTGTCAGGAGGGAGCAACTAGTCCCCATTTGATAGAGGAATAGAGACCGAAGCATGTAATGGAACAATACATTTCTGTTCAGCATCACCAACAGTTGGGCACTTTGCTTAAAAGCATCTAGGAGGATCCCCAGACCAGTGAAGACAGTTTTTCTTAATGAGTAACTTGCCTGGATGATGTGTGTAGTGAGCTCAGTAAATTCTTGGCTTCTCCTGACTTTCACATCATCCAAACTGTCCCAGAGAATTCCTCGCATTGAGTTACTGTCCCAGGCAGTCACACACTCCTGAATTTGTCAGTTCTTGTTCTTATATCCAGTGAGAGTATTTTGACTTCAAACATACAAAATCAAAAGATAGGCAGAGCAAGCTGTGTCTCCTGTAAAACCAAGTTTATCGTGTTAAAACATGCTCCACAGCCCTCGGCTTCCGTCTAACTATAAAATCAAGAATTACTTCAGGAGGATGGTTGATTTTTTTTTTTTAGTTAAGTAAAATTATAAAAGAAAAGTGAGTTACACCTTCTATGACCTAATTTAATCCACATAAAAGTCTAAGAAAACTCTCATTTGATATAATGTATTCTTTAACTAAAAGAGGATCCAAAAAAATTGTACAAATTCCAGACCTGAAACCAGGTAGATCTGCCTATCTTTCAGGTTGACTCTGGGATTCAGAGTAAGAGCATGTATTTTATGGACCCTCTAAGGGTCTGAGATGCCACTGAGACAGGCTCAGCTTCATCAGGCACAGGAGGCCTGCACTGTCCTTCTCACCCTCACTCTACTCAGTCTATAAAAGCCCTACTTAGGAAGTTATATGAATAATGAAATGAGCAAAGGAAGGTGAAGTGGAGCAGAAAAGAAGATATAGACAGAGACGTGGGAGAATAAAGTGACCAGGGATGGGAGGAGAAGACACAAATGGCTTATATGAGTCACAAAGATAAGGCTTCATATGTGCTATATTCATGCATCCTTGTATAATATTATTAAAGCAGGATAATTATGATCTAATTTTATAAATGAAACTAGAGAAGGATGGAAGTGCAAGTGAGCTCTCCAAGTCCCCATGTAAGCCCAAGTAAGCTGCACAGTGAACTGAGACCTCGCCCCATCTCTACTCAAACACAATATTTCAGCTCTTCCATATTGCTACCTAAGGATAGGTCTCTTTGTCACCTCTACCTTGCTCTTTAAGCCCTCAGCCAATCATTCAGGGAATGGATAAGTATAAAAGGCATCTTATGATTATTTCTAAGCAAACATGGTGTTTGGTAACAACCAGTTCCAAAGTCAAATCCAAATAGAGTTTTATTTGAGCAATGTGTGCAGACGAGTGGAGGGAACTCATTATATGTTCCTGTGGTATCACAGGACAGGGAGGATGGTCATGTACAAGGGGGTGGTAAGCTTGAGGATCTGGTGACCTAGTTTCAAAGGTTCCCTGCCCCATTCCTTGTCAGTGAAGCAGACACAATAGCACCTATGCTGGGAGGCTGAGATGAAAATTAGAAGAGAGACGGCTTACATCTTAGTGGTTTCATGTCACATGAGAAGCATTGGGGAATTCTTAGCTGTGCTTTAAACTTCTTCAACCCCATGAGTTACTGTTAATGGTCACTCCTTCACTCGAAGAATATTGAATTAACTAACTTCAGTGGCTCTGGAGTGACACAACCTCAGCTCTCACTCTGTTATCTACAGCCTAGTGTGATGGAATACTCCTGTAATCCCAGGACACAAGAGGAAGACGTAGGAAGATGCTGTTGGAGAGTATAGAGAGGATTGTAGTCTTGGCTACATAACAAGACTCTGCCTCAAACAAGCAACCAAACATATAAACAAAGCCCACATTATTTACTGTCTGTGCTTTCCATGTTAACAGTTTAACATGGCTTAGTTTCTGTGTGTCTCCATTTCCATAAAAATAAAAATGCTGCTGAGGTACTGTTTGGTCTTTTTTTAATAAGTTAGTCATAAAGGTTAGATGAGTTCATCAGAAAGGAATTTAACCTGCCCCCTGGCTAATTAGAAGAACTTGATAAATGTTAGCTAAGTGTAGATTTCAGGAAGGCACGCCTTGTATAATGAAAGGACTCAGTCCATTTTTGAGACATACAACTAACAAAACTTGGAGTTCACAACTCCAAACTCAGCAAATATTTATTGTGCTCCTACTCGGTAGACGACAATATCCTATGGGCCAGAGACTTAAATATAAATAAATATAAAGCCCTCAGATAAGGTTATAGTATACTCTGGCTTAGACAATGTACTCAAGAATCATAAAAATATACTTTTATTTTCTAAACATTAAAGCTGTCTTGTACCGAACTCTTCAATAATGTATAAGTCATAACTCTTTTTTTCATTAACTGACAAGCATTCTCAAATGCTTCTGAAGGTAAGCGGTTTCACAAAACTTCTGTAGCTGCAAAGCCCTCTTCCTGTCATTTACGCTGAGGCAAGCATCTAGATGCCAGAGTAGGGCTGAGATGTGATATTTAGCACTTGGTACTCTACCTGTTTTGTATATAAAGGTGTGGTGTGTGTGTGTGTGTGTGTGTGTTCATTTGCAGGTATACTTGTACATACACACAATGAGGCCAGAGGTCAACTGCAGCTGTCATTTCTCAGATGGTGTCCACCTTGCTCTTGAGACAGCATCTCTCATGTGGCCTAGAAAACTGTCTAGGCAGAAAGAGAGCCCTGGGAATTTCTCATCCTCTCCAGTGTTGAGGTTTTAGTCACATGTCCGTACAACCAGATCTTTTTGATGGCTGCTAAGGCTCAAACTCAGGTCTTCACACTTGTGCTAAGCACTTTCTGACTAAGCCATCTCCCCAGCTCTGTACCTGATCTGTCTTAATCTCAACATCTCCTTTGGTACCCTGATTCTGCCCACATTTGTGAATTCTAACCAATTCTGCCAGAGTCTTCTACTTAGTCCTCACTATGGGCACAGCTCCTGCTCAGTTCTCAGCCTCTAGACAAAATAAATAAATAAATAAATAAATAAATAAATAAATAAATAAATAAATAAAATTTTTTTAAAAATTTTAAAACCCCACCACTTCTATTATATCCATCCCTTGAGCTTTCAAAGGCTTCCTAACTAAGAAAGTGACTAAGAAGGTTAGGATTTTGAATGGAGCCGCTGTAACTCTTCAAAGCATTGCGTTTTGTTAGCAAAGGGCCTGGGTTAGTCATGTCCAGATCACAGATCCTCTTCTAAGGAAGAATTATTCATTTCCAAACTCTCAGAACACCGGCCAGTGGTGGAGTTGGCCCAAAATGGATGTTTTGGTGCCTGTTCTATCTGCCCGATAGAGAAAAAGCTAAGTACACAGTAAGCCATCCATCTTAACTCCTACCCCCAAATCTTGAGCTGGAACCTGACATATCTCTTTCACCTTATTTTCTACTACACACTCTATCACCACAACCCAGAACATGGCCACACTATGCCAGATCTCACCTCAAGCATTGGCAAGTGTCATCTTTTCATTTCTGCTCAACATGGCTTCCTGTGTGCCAAAGACCTACTCAAAACTCTATTTCTACAAAGTTTTCGGATACATCCTCTAGATAAGATGACTCAGCCCCGTTTTCATCTTCAGACTCAGAATACTTTGGGGCCTTTTATGAAATTATTCAGAAACTTTTATAAGCTCCTGTTTGCTGAGGGAACAGCATGTAATCATCCTCCAAATCATATGAGGCAAGTATAATCATTTAAGATATTCATTTTAAAATAAGAAAGCCGATTAGCATTTAGCATCCTTCCAAAATCAAATGGAACATGGATAGTAGAACCTTTTCTGTCTGTCTCCAGTGTCTTCCCTGTCACCAATTGGTTCTACTTCACACTGAAGGCTCCTGCAGTGCTGGAAGCCCAGAAGCAGAAGCTTGTTAGGACAAGTTTCTCAAAAGCAAGTTCCCTACATGGAGGAAGAGACAATGTGACCTAGAAATTGTTGGTGGACAAAGGTCACGGAGTTGTGGCCACTGAACAGACTTCCCTCTTGGCAAATGTGTGAGAGAACTGGAATGGAGAAAGTCATAAAGACCACTCATGGGTAAGTGGGCATTTTATACTGAAAAGATAACAGATCTATGCCAAAGCAATGCAATGAGAGAAGCATCCCCTTCTCATGAATAGGATAGCTATTATAACAGCTGTGTAGATAGGAAAGAGAAGGCTTCCAAGGTGAGTCCCTTCCTGCCAGAGAATCTTCTGATCTTACACTTAAGAATTAAAGATCCATCCTTAAAGGAGTAACAAGTGGGGTTGTTCAAACCATCTTCTGAAAGAGGGTAGGTCACTGTTTCCTCTTTCCATTCTCCACTCAGCCAATTCATGCCCTGTGCCCTGGAGTAAGTGCAACTGCACACTGGGAAGTCATGGGATCTTCTTTTCCTCCTACTCTTTTGTCAACCAAGTCCTTTACTTTAACTATATGCAAAGGGACTAATGTCTAGCTTTATTGATGCCAGGGAGGTTAGAAAAAAATTAAACCATTCTCTTTATACTAACTATGGTCTTATTAAATAAGGGTCCATAAGCCCTTTAAATATAATGTTGCATGCCTATATTGAGGAAACCTGAATGAATCTCAATTATCAACTCTAGATCATTCATAGTATCTACCCTAGAAGGGCGTGAAAAGGGTTCTGAAGTTGAATACAAGTCAATTCAAGAAAATATGCCATTGATTATTAATATCTACCAGAAGGGAAAGAAATGTGTTACAGCAGCACCATGGGCAGAAGAGTCGCAAGGAGTGAAGGGTGACTTTCTTTGCAGAGGAAACACTAAAGGGAGCATGAAGCAATCATGACAGGTGGACAGAAATGCCAGTAGAGAACCTAGTTTCCTAACATAACTTTCATGGAGGCTTAAAATCATCATGAAGAAAAATGCATTTGGAAAATCCCCCAATATCTGAGAATGACTCAGATACTAACAGTGAGGGGTCAAGCTCAAGTTGAGGCTGAGAAATAGAATGGAGGCAGGATTGTATGGGATCTTTCTTCCTGCTGGGCACACCTGAGTTGTCATTACAAACATAAAAATTAAAACATATGACCATGGAAGAAGACTAGAAGACTAGGTGAAAAGACATGCTCACGTACCACCCACGGGTCATACAATCATGGATAATTTTCTACATCAATCAGCTGTCCTACCCCGTCTGAGTGAGGCAAGCTCAATGACAGGAGACAATATGATGAAAGTCTCAGAGACATAAAAATAATCAAGAATGGCTAAATAACCTCAGGAATGTTCAATGCTAATTCAGCAGATTGTACTCCACATTCCTGATGTAATCTTTCCGAACGAAAATGGGAGTTTGTGAAGCAGCAGCTTCCAGTCCTTCAGCATTTTAATGGTCACCCATATCAATGTGAGTTGAATATGTTTTGTTACTTTCAGCCTTGGTCTGCCATTGTCGTTGGCGCTAAATAGAATTGGTGTAACACTACTTCCTTGGCTATACACCTGCTTATTTGCAGGCTTGCTCTCATTCCTATTGGTATTTGTAAGCCTTTGTTCCTTAAGCTTCAGCCAAAAATTGTGAAGTTCCTCAATCTTCTTTCAAATTATATTCTAATTCCTCTCCAGATGAAGTCTTCTGCTGCGGAGAAATTTGAAGGTATTCATGTTCTTTCTTCTGTGGCTTTAGTCCCAAAAATCAATCCTGACAGTACTCTGCCTTCAAGGAAAGGATCCGTCCTTCCACAGTCCAAGTTGAGATTCTCTACATCCAAGTTCACTGTGCAGTAGAAACACCATGGGTCAGGTGGGAAAGCAGGAGCCTTGGAATTCTTCCCTGTGCTTGCTGCACTATGCGAGGTCCATATTTTTGTACATCACCTACATTCTCTTAAGAGCCAACTCTCCACGCCAACCATAGGCTAATTCTTAAAACACACCCATCACTGACTAGCCTGTTCACCAGTCCTCATCCATACGGCATTTAGCTTTCTACTCAGTTAGATGACAGAATGGCGCTCTCTGAAAATTAGACTTGTCTAGCTTCTTTAATATATATTTGAACTAATTTCGCATCCCCTAATTAATCCTCCCGGTGACTGACAGAAACTGATAACAAGCTCATTTGCCCACAGAATGAAATGTTTATCAGTTTTCTCTTCAAAACAAAAGGAATCCACAGAGTTTTCAATTAGCATTTTGGTGGAAGCAGAGGACTGTAGTTTTAAAAGGCAAATGGACATAAATCCAGAAGCAGAAAAGACCTTGAGGTGAATGAAGAGGGTTTCTTGGAGATACCTGCACGGAAATGGTCATCCCCTCATTCCTCAAGAAAATAAATGCCCAAGAGAAATGCACAGATATATCCTGGGACAAATAGCTTCACTTCTGAAATAAAATGGATCATTCTCCTTCCCTGAGCCTAATACCTAACATGAGGAGATATTAACCATAGGACTCACTCTGCTTCTTGTTTACACACTGTAGATATTTCTTAAGCTGATACCTGGTCACTCATCAGCCTGCAAACTTACTAGGTGAAGAAAATGCTTTGTGTTACTGTGAAAAGTTATTACAAAGTAAGAAATAATTGATTCCACATCCCACACATATGTTAATTAGTTGTACATGTCACACACTAGACTCCAAACACTGGCCCATAGAAATTTCTATTGCCTCTTCTTCTTTGGTTCCTACTATAGAACCTGTTGTGTAATAGGAACTTGATAAATGTTTGCCGAATTGGCTTCCATTGAATTGAATAACTAACTCACTTGCAAGGTCTTAGGAGGCAACTAAAGAATCTAATTTTACACCAGCACCATTGCCTTGCTCACAGCTGACATGAGAAATTATGTGGTAAGTGGCAAGCAAATGAATAAATAAATGGAAGGAATTGAAGAGATGATTCTTATCCCTCAACACACTTTAGAATCACCTGGAGTACTTTTTTATAAAGGTTAATCTCTGGGAAACTGCACCAGAGAATCATTTGAAAGTTTCTCCAGGATATTCTAATGTACATTCAAAGTTGAGAACCAGTGACTTTGAATAATAGGAAAGTATCCCCCTGCATCAATCCCTTTGGTTTGTTTGTTTGTATGTTTGTTTGTTTCCTCTAACCAAATGGGTTTTCCTCTTTCTGTGTAGGACAAAGCATCCTGAAAAGTCTGACAAACAAAAGAGTGATGTTGCCAGTGTGTTTAAAACACCATCAAGAAGTGGTTTCCTGCACTGTTGGCCTTCCACAACCATCATCACCCTGACAGACACTTGACCCTCTTTTCCCCATACAAGTAAGCACGCTAGGCAAGAACAACCACCATGCGACCACTCAGGCTGCCACCTGGTGGCCACTCTGCAGTGACAGATAGAGCAGTTTCCTTCAAACAAGCTCTGAGAATCTATGCAAAACCCATGCATGTCATTTCAGATGTTTTAGAAAATGAGTATTCTGTGAGGAAGAGAATATTCCGAGTACTTCACAGTGAAGAGAAGAATTGCGTAGGCATGAGCAGCAGGCTGAGGATTTATCTATCCCCAAAGGACAACAAATGACAAAGGTCAGGAAATGGCGGTGAACTCACGAGCAAAGTACAGATTCCGTCAAATCCACTCCTAAATCTTCAGTGCCTTGAGGAAAATGATGTAAGCTACACCACACCATCCTCAGTATAATTCTCATATAGAAAGATAGTCGTTACAGGAGTTGGATGTCTTAGTCAAAGTAGCATGGCACCACTGAGGCAGGAAAATTCCTGTGAGCTCAGTTCTAGCCTGGGAAGCATAACGAGTTCAAAGCCAACTTAGGCTACATAATAAAACTGTGTCTCAAGAAGGTGGAAGAGGAGAGAGAGAGGTTGGAGGAGAGGGAAGAAAAGGAAAGGGGAGGGAAACTGCATAGCAAGCAAGATGTGGTTGGTGGTGTGCACCTATAGTCCCTGCATCAGAGAGACTAAGGTAGGAGATTTATGAGTCCAGCCCTGCACTAAGGCTCTCAAACAAACCAATAAATAACTGGTAAGTAAGTCAATGCTTAACTTTTTTTAACAGTTATCTTCAGAAAATGGGGTTTTATTTTTCAAGACAGGATTTGCGTGTGTGCATCCAGGAAACAAAACACACGTGGATGTGAGCAGGCACATACCATTTCTACACACTCCACAATAAAACGTAACTGGATGATAGAAACCTTACTTCTTCATGAAAAAAACAGGCTGTGATGCTATGAATGTTTTCCTCAGAGATAGAACGAATATCTTCATTCCCAAGTCTTGGCCGATCTGCTGTGATGAATATTTGCGAGCGACTTCTTGGTAAAGGAATCTGGAAGCTAAATATGAAGTGTAAGTTACACACTTCACACCCGCCTGCTTTTTCAGGGTTTTAAATGTGTGCAAAGTGGCGAGAACTGTAACTGTGGCCAGACAGAGCCTGGCTCGGGTGCTAACTCCACCACCATGGGCTGTGAAATGTTATAGAATCTCCTTCCAACTCCCAAAACTTCTGTTTCCTCATCTCCATGTACGGATGATAATCTCACCTCCTGGGGATTTTATTCTGTGAATGGAGGAAATTTACTCAAAGGCTGAAACAGATAAATCCAGAATATTAACTGAGTAAGTGGGATTTCTCTTATTCACATTATAATATTCACAAAATTGTAACTTATCAACATGCTAATAGGTGGGGCAAAATTCATTTGATTCTATGCCATTTTGAATACCATGGATATTAAGAGCGTGGTAGAAACAAATTCTTCACAACATCACAAAAATGTGGAAAAGATTCCCTGGGGAGTGGAGAATGGGGAAGCTTGCTGAATGCCTAGTTCACTCCTGACAGTGGATTAAAAATATGCTGCAACACGGTTTTAAAAGGGAAACTATTTTACTAGCAGCAACTTTTAATTAGTTTTTATATTTTTAATTACAATTTCATAATTTTCTCCTTTTATTTTCTCCTTCCAATTCTCCTGATGTACTTATCCTTGCTCCCTCTCAAAATCATGGCCTCTTATTTAGTGGCTATTGTCACACACACACACACACACACACACACACATTCACACCCCTAAATATGTAAATACGAACTGTTCCGTCTATTTAGTGTTACCTGTCTGTGTGCAGTTTGAGGTCTGACCACTTGAGTAACCAGTTAGGAGGTTCTTCCTTGGAGCACACCTGCATTCAGCTGTCAAGGACATATGAAAAGAAGAAGCTAGTAAATAAAAGTAGTCTCTGCCTTCTGATTCCTTTCTGGTTAATAATGAACTAGCTGCTATCTAGAAAGTCAAATCAAAAGCAACAGAGGACATTAGTAGCTCTGGTACAGTGTGATGCTCTCAGCTAACACTAGTGGAGGACAAGACTTCAGGAACCAAGATTTCAAAACTATCCAAGACATTAGACCAGAAGACGAATGTTCACTAGAAAATATAAAAGCTTCCTGGAGGACTTTCTTTAAGCTGTTTATCTGTTTCTGTTTCTGTACACTAAGCCCTTTTTATTATTATTTCATTTTGTTTTCCTCCAGCAGCAGCTGATTGAATTTGGGAGTGTGGCCACTGGCATATTGCTCATTCTCCAGTGGAGAGCCCCATACCTGCACACATATGACAACATTAATAGGACTAAGTACGTTATTAATAAAAAAGAAAAAGAAGACATGAATCTGGGAAGGGGGCATGTTACCGGGGATACTGAGGAAATTGAAGTGGGGGATGTGGGGTGGATAGAATCATATTTCAGTGTACATATGTGTGAAAATCTCCATGTATATTATGTTATTTTTTTAAATAAGTATTTAAAGAAACTACTAATATGACTATGATCCCTGTTGACAGAACATCATGAAAACAAGGAGACTAGAAACACACGAGTAAAGATTGATAGAAAAAACCATGGCCTGTGTTAAGAGTCAAGCCTACCCCGAAGTTATGAAAGACATTGGCACTAAAATCTCTAAGAGGAAACTCAAGGAGGAGACATCACGGCAACTTATCTAGAGATGGCAGTGTCCCCAGCACAGGTAATGCTCAGTGCCTGAAAATGTCATGGAGGAACTTCAGAAAGTGTGCTTTGAAAGCCATGGGAGACCCACAGACTTCTTTAACACAAAGGGTTTTCTCTGCCTCAACTCTAAATTTCTAATACTGTTTACCTAATTTAAGACTATCCCAAAGCATAGAATTAAGTGAACTGGAAAAGTCAATGACACCACAAGAAGACCTACAGAGTCAACTAACCTGGGCCCAGGGCTCTCACAGAGACTGAACCACCAACCAAAGAGCATGCAGAGGCTGGACTTAGGCCCCGTACACATTTGTAGCAGATGTGCAGCTTGGTCCTCATGTGGGTCCCCTAATAAGTGGAGTAGAGACTGTCTCTGACTCGGCTGCCTGCCATTAGATCTCCTTCCTCTAACTGGACACCCTGGTTGGGCCTCAGTGGGAAAGGAAAGGATATGTTTAATCCTGCTATGACTGGATGTCCCAGTGCATAGTAGTACCCAAGTGGAGGAGGCTTCTCCTTCTCTGAGAAGAAAGGGAGTAATGGGGGGAGATTTGTAAAGGTAGGACTGGGAGGGAAGGAGGGATGGGGGTCACAATGGAGACATAAAGTGAATGAGTAAATAAATTAATCAAAAAAGAAAGACTGTCATCAAAAGGCTTGCATTAAAAAGCATGTGACCCTATGTCCTCTGAAGAACAAGTGAGTATGTTATTTGGCTAGGTTACTCTATCATGCAGAGAGAAGAAACATGAAATGAGGTTAAGATGGTAAAAAGGAAAGAAGAAAAGAGCAAGAGTTAAAGAAGGGGACACGGTTCTATCCACCTTGCCTGTCAACTTGTTCCATACAATAGGTAGCCTCCCCTGATGCGTGGCTATTTAAATTGAAGTGAAATTAAGATCTAGCTCTCCTATCAGATTAGCTAGATTTGAGATCTCCCATAACTATATAAAGCCTAGTGTCCATCACATTGGTCAATGAATACACCATTTCCGTCACACTTCTATTAGAGAGCACTACCAAATGGGTAACTCTAAAAGAAGCATTATGACTTATGCTTCCGGAGAGATGAATTTCCAAAGGAACTGGGGAGGGAGAGGTGAAGGAGGAGGGGAGTAGAGGGAAAGAAAAAGGAGAGGGGGCACTCTGGTATTTTGCAACCTTTCCTAAAGAAACAAGTAGTTGTGATTTTTGTTTGTTTGTTGTTTGTTGTTTTATTTTTATGACTAACCCACATGGAAAAGGAGCAAATACATAAAAATATTAGACAACACAACCCTCTTTCCTTAGCAACTCCAAACATGAACAGTAGATACCCAAAGGAAAACTAACACTAAAATTTTATTGACCCTTTTTTCTGAATTGCCCATTAGTAACTTAGTTTCCCACAGGGAAACTAGGGTTGACACTTTGTCCTAAATTACCCATTGATAAAATACATTGTACATACTAACGTACTTATGGCAGAGTCCATTACCTGTTCATACACTTCCTGTTTTCTTTACTGAGTCATTGATAGGAATTCCATAATAAATATAGTAGACTATGGTCTTCTCTGTCTCTGTCTATCTCTCTGTCTCTATCTCTCTGTCTCTGTCTTTCTATCTCTCTCTATTTTTCAGTCTCTGTCTCTCTGTCTCTGTCTCTGTTTGTCTCTCTCTCTCTCTCTCTCTGTCTCTGTGTGTGTCTTTGTGTGTGTGTGTTTGTGTGTGTGTGTGTGTGTGTGTGTGTGTGTCTTGTCTTCAGGCTCACTTTCTTCTACTTGATAGAGTTTGTAGCTGAATTTCCCAAGAAGTTTTTTAAACTTTTGTTAGGTTTATGTTTTCTAGGTTCTGGAATTTCTTCATTATAAGTAGATAGCCACTATCTGACCACATGGATTATATAAGATCCAAGATTACAGAAGTGTGGGGAGTTTGTAACATAAGCAATCCACATTTGAACAAAGGTCTGTATGACACACAGGACTAGATTCTTACAATATACTTTTTAGTCTCTATACTGAATAAAAAATATTGTGTAAAGGCTATTTCACCATATACAGATTAAGAAACACTACCATGACAAGGCCTCATTTTACACTGGTGGTATTTGAGGAACACAGACTAATCATAGGTCAGTCACAATTTTTCTGAATCTGTTTCTATAAAGAGAAGTTTTTAAATCAAAGGATTTCAGACTCCTTCAGCCCTACATAATCATTTAACAGCCTGGATTTCTATAAGGAATCTACAGTGAAGTCTGAGTGAGAAGTGCCTGGTTACCTGGTTTAAAAAAAAAATGGTTTCTCAGGGTTGTTATGTAGTGCTAACTAAAGGCAGTCAGAGCACATCAGAGAGATCCAAAGTTGATGGTTAACTAACTCACTCACTTGTCAATCTCTTCAGTGCACTTGACCCTAAGCAGAATTTTTTTTATTAAAAAGAAATTACTTTTCAGAGGACCTACTGTCAAGTCTTTTGCCAGGTCCATAGCAGGATGAATTGGGTGTGGCTATAGGATCTTTTTGTGCGCATGTGCTACTTCCGTTCCTCTTTTCTCTCCATACTTATGCTTCTAAATCACAAGAATACATAGGAAGATAATTAAAAACCTCTGCCAAAAACTATAACTATCACTGAGCTTGGTCATAAACTCTAATTGGAAAACTGATATTAAGTATGTATCTTTATTACATTTTGAAAGCATGAATAATATATGTCATCATCTAAAGGCTGAGCTGTGCACATGGCTTTATTATTCACGCATAAACAAAAGTGCAGTGCACTGTTATCAATTAGTGTCCAGCTTCTTTGGAAGAGCAAGAAGGGAAAAACAGTTGGATCTCAGCTGGCAATTTACATTCTCAAACATCTTTATTCACAAGCTGTAAAAGCAAGCTGGTAACAGTCGCCAAAGTGGTTTCCAAGACAACTTATCTCTGGATTTAGTATTGCTGCTTCAGGAGGGAGGCCTATGAAGAATTTAATTAGCTAACGCCTCATCCTCCTTAACCAAAAAAGGAGGGATTTTCTTTCATGTTAAGTTTCTATGGAATGAGTCAATGGAATCAGGGTAGATTCAGACACTGAGATGGACTCGCATGTACCCACCGTCCTGGGTAATTACAGCATACACTGCCTCTGTTGTTCATGAGCATGAATAAAGATGGAGCCAGAATGTGGCAGATAAGTATCCCTTGAATAAATAAGTAAACACATTGACACACATATAGCCAATCGAATTATGTATGGATGCATTTGTTTTCCTTCTTTCCTATTCTCAAAAGTAAATGGGCAGTTTACTAGAAAGTTAATTTAAAAACCAACAAAGAGCATCGAAGGAAAGATAAATCAGATGTAAAACTGATGGAAATTTTGGAGTTGTTAGAACTGTGCTTCACAATTGGTTCTGAGCCTCCAGGTAACCATGGCAATATTGGAAATGGTACAAATTGCATGGCTTAAATTATTCCTAACAGAAGGGAATACTTTTTCTCTTCTATATTGTAAAGGAAAGCATTGTTGTGAATAGTGTTGGGTTTTGTTTAGGGAGGTCTTGAAACTCACATATAATTTTTACTATCATAAAATTCTTAATATAAGTATCATACTTTAAACTTCATAGTCTTCACATACTATTTCTCCCAGACACCTACAAAACAAAAAAAGAAACCACGGGGCAAATCTCTGTTGAGAATATTAATCACAGAGCCAGCATGACGGCTCAGTGGGTAAAGGTGATTTCCTGACAAAACCCATGTAAATGTGGAAAGGGAGATCCACAAAGGTGGTTTCTGACCTCTGCATGCACAATATGGCACACGTGAACATGCTGATAGTCATCAAGTAATTTAAAGCACAAAATAAAAGAGTATTAATTACTAGTTAATTGGATTATGTCTCTGACTTCCATACATGTTAGCCTCTTATAGTAGTTGTCAACCTCAAACTCAGGTCTGCAATCTTTCACTCTACAAATGAGTTTCCTTGGGCATACGTTTTTCTTGAGACTTGATAACATTTCCATAATTTTACCATTTTTGAAGAACTTGTAATATATACTACAGTATATGTTATTCATATGAGATAGATAGATAGATAGATAGATAGATAGATAGATAGATAGATGGATGGATGGATGGATGGATGGATGGATGGATAGATAGATAGATAGATATGATGGATGCATAGATAGATGATAGACAGACAGACAGACAGACAGACAAGACAGATTATATAATATGTCTATGTATTCATGCTATTTTAGAGTTGGATAACCTTTGCCCTTCCGTAGCATCCTTACATAGATTCATCCTTGAAATGACTAATGATAAGCTGGTAAACACTACTTATCTATTTGTGAGCATGAAGGAATTAGGGTTCTCATGAGGAGTAGATGGTCTAGTATCTAAAAGCATTTCCTGTACAGCAAAAAGAGCTGAGTTCTAATCTCCAACATGAATGTAAAATGCCAGTTATAGTTGTATATGCCTATGTGCTCAGCACTAGGGAGTGTACACAGGTGGCCCTGGGAGCTTGCTAGTCCTGATCTCAAGAGCAAATAGCTATAATAAGCTTTTCATAGATGTCTTGAATCACATTGATAGTCCTCCCACCCTTTCCCTAGCTTTATGAATGCTTTTATCATTAGAAGCTGCATGTTCCTCATCTCTCTACATTTTTCCACAAGTATGCACTGAGTAGAACTTAGCCCAGGACCAGAAATGAGAACCTCTGCAGTTCTGAGGGCTCCTTCTGGGTACTGCTCACTCTAATCCAGTATTTACTCCTATAAGTCCTGGCTGCTTTGACTTCTTTAGATTCTCAAGGCCATTTCCCTCAATGTTCAGAGAACATGAAGCTTACTCAACACAATAATACAACCTGCACAGAATGCTGGTTCCATTGTAAGACTCATCTCCTTTGCTTATCTTTCAGTAACTACTGTCTTTTTTTACCCAATGCCCACTGCTTTCAAAACCATTGCATTCTGTGTTTTGTATAGTTTTTATTTTTTTGTGTAAGTATTTAATATAATCTTGGTTATTCCATATTGGTTGGAAGCAGCAATCTATCCCCCCCTAATTTTGTCTGTGTTTTTTGTCATTGTTGTTGTTCTCGGTGTGGTGTGTGTATGTGTGTGTGTGTGTGTGTGTGTGTGTATTACACATGAGTGTATGCTAAACATGAGTTTGTGGCTATGTGCACAGATATCAGAAGTCTTCCTCAGTGATTCTCTGTCTTTTGCCTTGAAACAGAGTTTCTCACTAAACTAGAAGCTCTACATTGTCTCTATGTTGGCTGGTCAACCAACCCACATGATCCTCCTAGCTCTGCCACAAAATGCTAGGGTTCCAGACATGAACAACTTTTTATGTGGGTTCTTGGGATTCAAAGTGAAGTCTTCATGTTTGCATAGTAAGCCCTCTTAATCTCAGCATCACACCCTCAAATCTTCTGCTACGCAATTCTTATGCAGCCACATTCTTAGGAATATTTTATGTATAATAAATTAGGATCTAATCTGAAGACTAAATACTTTCAAAACACTCCAATACAATAATTAGTAATCCTGGTTTTTAAAATATGTATTTTACTTTATTTTGTGTAGATTGAAATCTGAAATCTGTAACAAGCACCCAGGTTCCCCAAGGCTTCCTTTGGCTTTCTCTATTTTATCTTCTACACGAATAACAGTTCCAATATCTGCTATAGCCTGTTTGTGGAACCCTAATTCAATACCATATACAGTTTAATAATGTTTCATTATGTAATTATTAGAAACGCTAAGTTTAAAAGAAATAGGGGTGCTCAATGGAA